TGATGAACACACTTGCAGGGCAGGAACAGACGTGCAGAAGTAGAAAACGAACCTGTGGACACAGCAAGGGGGTAGGGGGGAAACTGACAGATCGTTTTGACATATATACAGTACTATGTATAAAACTGATAGTTAGTGGGAGGCTGCTATGTAACACAGGGAGCTCAGCTCGCTGCTCTGTGATGACCTAGAGAGGCAGAATAGGGGAGAGGGTGGGAGGGAGACTCAAGAGGAAGGGGATATATGTGTACATACAGCTGATTCACAATATTGTGTAGCAGAAACACAACACTGTAAAGCAATTATATTTCAATTTAAAAAAATACCAAAAAGATGAATAAAATAATAAAAATGGGGGATGCAAAAATGGCCTATTGTGTGTTCTCCTCTTTTCACAGGGAAAACTGAGAACTCCTGTCACAAAATTATGGAGAAAGGCAAATTTCCACAATGAATACTTTTCATATAATGAAAATATAACAGGTGTAATTACAAGTGAAAGTGAAATTGCTCAGTCGTGTACAACTCTTTGCGACCCCATGGACTGAAGCCCACCAGGCTCCTACATCCATGGGATTCTCCAGGCAGGAGTACTGGAGTGGGTTGCCATTTCCTTCTCTAGGGGATCTTCCCGACCCAGGGACTGAACCCAGGTCTCCTGCATTGCAGGCAGACGCTTTAACCTCTGAGCCACCAGGGAAGCCCATTGTAACTACAAGAGGAGAGGCCAATTATTACAATTTTTGCTAAGTGACCAAAAACTCTGAAAAAGAACAGGTTGGTGGGGAGCAGTGTGGGTGATGGGGGCAAAGAGGTTAGGGAAGCATGGAGGTAGAAAAAAGAACAAGGATGGAATTGTTACAACTCTGGGGCTCTTCCATACAGAGTTATGGCCAAACACACACTCCTGTTCCCTCCCCTCTAATTCTGGCCCAAGTTCTTCAGGGTACTAACTTTAGAAAAAGGCTGATCTGCCTCCCTGAGTTACTTTACTCACATTACCTACAAAGATGGCATAAACAAGCCCTCTAAGAAACTCCACCTCAGAATGATCTGCAACACCAACATTTTTCAACCACTTTCATCTCCAAGAGACAAACCACCATTGGCTGCTTCAAGTGAGCGAGGTTGGTATAGTGTTACATAACTGACTTTAGAATCTTGACTATTTCCAGGCATAGAAACAGAAAATGGTAGACAACACTGACAAAGACTGTTACTTGCCACTCAATAATTATGTTTCACTAAGTAGGCACACAGCCACCTAGAATACAGGCTACACTTTCCAGTCCACATCCCAGAGAGGTGTGGCCCTGTGACTATACGTCTAGCCAGTGGGATATAATTGGTGGCTGCTAACACGTTTTTTGTTTTTTTTTTTTAACAATTAGTCCTCTTTGGGAGACAGGGAGATGATGGGGAGCCTTGGTTTTTAGCATTGCCATTTTCCATGGTATACATTCCCATCACGGCTAACTTCAACCTTCCACCTTGATGGCACTGAACACAGAGTTGGGAAGAGCAGCAGCTCTCTCACAAGTTGGTACCAACTGGCTTCAGCAGATCACTGGATGTGATAATGGGCTGTATGTAACTTCTGGGAAACGGCCTTAAAGAAGGAGGCAAGTCTCAATGGCTGGGGGCATGCCCTTCCTCCTCTGTCCCCTCTACTAGCTGGAATATACACATGACTGGTCAAAGGCCAACCATCAGAATGGACCAGAGGGGGGAACAAGAGTCACAAGAGAGAAGCCTCGGTCACTGAGCTGCTCTGAGAACGCTTATATGCAGACTTCATTTACATGACAATTGTCAGAAAGAGGAAAATTTGTATCTTATAAATGGAACTGATATTTGGAGTTTTCTCATTCACAGTGTAATCTATCCCAAGGACGTCCCTAGAACAGTGCTTGCACTGCAGAGGGTGAAAGTTCGACCCCTCCCTGGGGAACTAAAATCCTGCAGGCCAGGTAGAGCAGCCAAAAAAAAAAAAAATAGAACTCTACCCCAACTAAGAGATCATGCTTGCTACATAGGATAAGTAAAGAACTCAGATCCGAAAGAATGAAAAAATATCTTAAGTTTTCTGTGAGGACAGAGGGTGAATAGAAAAGCCAAAGGGCTTGGAAGGGACTTGAAAAGGAGGTTCTTGCCTCTCTCCACCTGAGCCTGTCTCCCCGCTGACTCACAGAATCCTACAAAGACTGCACCCACAGACCCTTCCTAAAGCACGTGGGCCGCAGGCCCCAGATCCACAGAGAGGCTCGGGGAGGACTCCTCAACTAAGGGGGGTCCAGATCCTCAGCCTGAGAAGACTGACTGTTCTCAGACCTCGTTCTTCGAGGGCATTTTTCCAGGTAAAGAGCAGAAATGAGAACTACATAAAGGGCACTCGGGGGACAGACTAAGGGGACTCTGAGGCAGCAGTTGGCAGTTTAGTGCATTCTGCTTTGCTGGAGTTTACTTAAAATATAAACTTGGGCATGGGCTGAGGCCTGCTATTATCTTTGGGCTGTACTGTGGGTTTCAGACAAATGTAGAAGGACGTACTTAGAATGTAGGTAAAATTTATTATTACCTGTCAACTCCTCCTAAAAGTCAATATGTAAATGAAGATAATTTTGTCACAAGTATATTCTTATTTACTTTCAAAACGCTCTTTCTGACATCCCTAGGGACCAACTTTGGACGCGTCAAACAAGCAATTGAGCAGTGCTGAGTGTACAGTGCATCACCGTGCTCGCTCTGGGAGACTCCAACAGGGATATTCGCCATTCACTCCACACCTGAATGGCTTCTGTCTGTACACTGATGTGACTTCCATCTCTTAACAAGCTCAGGTCCAAGAACCCTTGCACCATGAGCATGATTTTCAATCCTTCACCACCAGCCGAACCCACCTCCGTCCCAGTGCAGGTGACAGTAAGAACCTGATGTGGGTTGGTGGTGGGTGAAGGGGGAGCTCCCTATGAGAAAGGAGGAAGTGTGGGGAAGAGCCAGACCAAGTCGGCAAGAAAAGAGGAAGCAGCCGGGCTGAGGTACATACAGATGATGAACACTTGTGTAGAGAGTGGCTCTGAAAGCAACTAAATAAACCATAGATAGTTTTAAGCTATGACAAACCTAGACAGTGTATGTTAAAGAGCAGAGGCATCACTTTGCCAACAAAGGTCTGTATAGTCAAAGCTATGGTTTTTTCCAGTAGTCATGTATAGATGTGAGAGCTGGACCATAAAGAAGGCTGAGCACCAAAGAATCGGTGCTTTCAAACTGCAGTGCTGGAGAAGACTTTTGAGAGTCCCTCGGAAAGTAAGGAGATCAAACCAGTCAATCCTAAAGGAAAAGGGCCCTGAATATTCATTGGAAGGACTGATGCTGAAGTTGAAGCACCAATATTCTGGCCACCCGATGAGAAGAGCCAACTCATTGGAAAAGACCCTGATGCTGGAAAAGATTGAAGACAAAAGGAGAAGAGGGTGGCAGAGGATAAGATGGTTAGATACCATCACCAACTCAATAAACATGAGTTTGAGCAAACTTCAGGGGCTAGTGAAGGACAGGGAAGCCTGGCATGCTGCAGCCCCTGGGGTCACAAAGAGTCGGACATGACTGAGCATCTAAACAACAATAGTTCTGAGATAGAAACCAGGCCAGAACAAAACCTCCAGTCATGTACCATCTAGAATCCTGACAGTATCCCACATTTACAGGGCCAAAGAGTTTTTCAAAGATTTGCAGATACTTGCTACAATTATTTAAGACATAACCACAATCACTCTTAATCATCCAGCCCTGGATAGACCCACCCAGGTTCACATGTTGGCTCTGACATTCACAAGCTATAACAAACGACATGGATTTGCCTAGCCTCAGTTTCTCGATTTAAAAAATGAAGATCATCAAGCATACTCTGCTGGGTGCTTTTGTAAAAATTGGAGAGAACTGATCAAAAGTACACATGCCAAAGGTCAGCATAAAACGATACAATGAGAGTTATACAAACTTCAGGCAGGAATATATACGGCTGCTGTGGATATGCAATAAAAATTGAAAGATTAGGTTGATGGCATAGCTTTAAATTATAAAAAGTATAATCTGAAATGAATCAACATTATTACATAAATTACACCTCAATAACCTGGGTCCCTGACAGAGAAAAGCGAGATAAATTCAGACAAAATCTGTCACCACTCCTCCAGCTCTGTCTTGTGAACTATCTCCAATTTCACACTTTTGTCCGCTACCATCATTGCTGTCTGTATCAAAAAGCGCCTCTATTCTCCTGGATAAGAGGGGAATTCTGCCCATTTTCCTTTTTAATGGAGGTCTCACATCTGCAAGTCACTCTTTTCATCCCACTGGACAACCAGCCAAATTCCAAAGTTCAGTTCAAAACTGTGAGAAATAAGTCCATCTCTGAAAAATAAGTTGACCTGCTAAGAAGTCTGTCTTTGGCAACTCAGTCCCTAAGAGGTAACAGAACACCAAAATTTTCTAAAAACTAAAGTGCCTTTTGTTGCCAGAAATGTGTGTCTAAGCACGCCGTTCACCTCCCTCAAATATAATTCTGAATAAAAGAGAGCTGTTTCTGAAATCCAATATTCAAGTGAAACAGAGAAGATTCTCATGATCGAGCAGTTGAAAGCATGCATGGGAAGGTATGGAACCATGGAGGGAGGCTGTGAGCTGATCAACAGGGAGTGTGAATTAATTCTTCAGTAACAACAACTCAGAAAAGATGACTGTGGGTTAAAGACGTCCTGACTTGGCACTAGCATGGTGTGTCATCAAGACTGTCTGCAGTTTTGAGCCAACAATTATGCAATGTCTAAATTATATTTGTAGTTTGTGACTTCAAGTGCCACAGAAATAACTCCTGGGCATTTTAGTTATGCACAAAAGCTATGGTATCTTCCCGAGTGAATATATGTTACACTGAAGTACATATTTTGTACTAAAACTTAGCTAAAACTAAAACAGAAGCAAGAAAACAAACTCACTTGTCAAACTCATCAAAGAGACCACAATTCTGCAGTTTCGAAAGAGCAAGTCGAAAGTATGTGGCTAGAAAACAAGCGAAGTATTAGGAATAAAAGCAATCATGACTTCTTAGGTACATGGGAAACCACTTTATCCTCTGCCCTCCCCCAAATCCACTTCAAACTGGCATGATTACCTCTATTTATTCTGTGGTGAAAATTCATGATACGACTACAACTAGTTAGCCCTACTTAACAGGGGCACCTAAAATGTAAATGCTCTAAGGATACTTTCCAAAAATCCCAGGAAAATAATATGTTAATCTGAAAATAATCATAACCCAAAATTAACCATATCATATGATTCAGAAAATGACATTGGTATAGAACTCAATATTCTGCCAGTTTAAATTTATCAAACTCTCTACAATATATTCTAAATACACACACAGCATCAGCTGAATAAGGAAAATCTAACTCAGGAAACTATAGACTTGTCACCTAAAAGGCCTTCAGGGTTTCTCAAAAATCTAGCATGTAAAGCAAAGCAGTGGTCAGTAAGCAGAGGGAAAATCATTTCATCATTAGTAGATGGAGCAATTCTCTCTAAATTTAGCAAAAACAAAACATCCTCTGATTAAATTAAAAGACTGACCACGGATTTAGAACTTGCTGATGACATAAAACTCCTAAGAGGCAAAATGGGAGAATAGGAGGAAGTTAACCCACAGAATTGTCTTGCTAATTCTCAACTGGAATAAAGTAAAGCATTGAACTCACGAATAATACGGTGGTAAAACAAAAGTGAAAAACAGTTTCTCAACAACAAAAAAATCTGCCTTTCTTCATTCTTTTATTCTACACTGACTCAAAACGAGTGGGGATTTACATACTAAAATATAATTCCTTTCACCCAATCTCAAAAATCACATCTTTAAGAATCACTATGAAACAAAAAGATTAAAAGACCTTAAAATTATAGAAAAACATATGGTTCACATCAAACACCAGTCATAGTGTTAGGGCAAGGTAAGAATAATATTACTGACCTGATGCTCTTATCCCATAGGGCAAATCAAACTTATCGCTACCGTAGAAGGAAACAGTATTTTTAAAATCAGCTGCACACAGAAAAGGGTGAAACTGATGATACCTGGAAGAAAAGGATAAAGAATGACTTTCCCAAATGTGTACAGTATTTGCAGGTTTTTAAAATCACAACTGTAAAAAACTGCAGTATGTCATTCCTATCGTTAGATATGACTACAAATGTGCATATAATTACTTTTAAGATTCTTTCAAAATCATCTTAAACACCACTTAAATGCTACATAGAATAGGATAGGCAATGGAACTACACACTCAGAATGGAAATGCTTTCCAGGTAGTAAAACCAAAACCATGTAACAGCTTGGAGGAGGAGACACAAAGTTTAAATACAAGTGAACCCCAAAGGTAGCCTACAGGAAGAAACAAAAGAACAAATGAGGGAAAATAAAAGTACAAATGCTGATCCACTCCCCAAAGAAAAGATACCATATATATATAAAGCTGCTGTCAGCAGTGAAAATTAAAATACACTAAAAGCTAGATGAACTCTCTCCTGATGTCATTAAATTCAAATATACTCAAGAAGGACGGGTGTCTTCTTGCCTCCCTGCCCCGCTTCTACACTCAGGTACTCTCTCAGACAAGAATGTTTCATGAGACAGCTCTGTTTTTTTTTATGGTCCCTTCTTTCCACCCTTACCAGTTTTGTTCTTCCTAAATAAATAAACTGCAGGTGGAGATCAGAGTGCCCCTGGGGTTTCAGAGGCCATGTGACAAAATGGAAATAAGAAGCAGTAGAGTAGGAATGAGGGCTTCCCCAACGGCTCAGTGGTAAAGAGTTCGCCTTCAAGTGCAGGAGGTGCGGTTCAACCCCTGGGCTGGGAAGATCCCCTGGAGGAGGGCAGGGCAACCCACTCCAGCATTCTTGCCTGGAGAATCCCATGGACAGAAGAGCCTGGTGGGCTACGGTCCATAGGGGTCACAAGAGTCGGACACAAGTGAAGCGACTGAGCAAGCATGAATAACGATGAATTAGCTTCAGCTTTATACTCAAGATCTCCAGAGCTGAGCTGAGAACTTACACCATATTCAGACTAAGCAAAGAGGTGACAGACCACCCCTTCCTACTTGAGAAGAGTGTGTATGTCAGATTCAGTTGTGACAAGTGTTAGCAGCCTGGGGAAGGGGATTCCAGCCAATTTCAAAAGGTCATTATCTGTATCAGGGTTGATCTCTAAGCTTGGGATCTGCTCTGGGAAGAGAAGTGTCAGGGCTCCTGACTTAAAATTTCTAAATGAAATAATTGTTCAACACTGAGGGCAAAGAATGTGGCCTGCCATTTCAGTAAACAAAGGATATTGAAACCTTTAAGTCTTCAACTACTCCATCTGAACCCCAATTGCACTCTGTCAGGAATTCAGGAAGAAAAACAAAAACAGGATACAGGCCCCTGATAGCTATGGTGCATATCCAAAGAGTAATTTCAATAATCCAGTCTCTTGCATCTTCCCACACATAGAAAAGGGCTGAATTCATTATCTTGAGATGTCTGTTTAGTTTAATTAGCACTAATCTTTTGATGTTTGACTCCCTGATGTTGGTTTGCTGTTTTTGCAAAAACTCCTGTAAATACTGGCTTCTCCTATACCTCTTTGGAACAGTCCCTCAGAGCTATCTGAGAAGCTGTAACCCCAGCTTAAGTCCTCAGTAACGCCCCAAATAAAACATAATGCTCAACTTGTAGGTTGTGGGTTTTTTCTTTTTTTTCCAGTCGACAGCACCATGTCTCACACAAAGTTGGGGCTCAATAAGTTTCAGCCTTATCTATAATAACTATACTTGACATCNGGTCACAAAGAGTTGGACATGACGGAGCAACTCAACTGAACTGATTGAGTGCATAATTGACATACAAAATACTGTACCTACTTAGTGTATACAATTGGGTGAATCTGAAGATAGGCATATACCCACAAAACTATCACCACAATCCATGCCATAAATATATCCATCACCTTCAAAAATTTCCTCCTCTCATTATTATTATTATTACTATTATTATTTAAGATAAAACAGTTAACATAAGATCTACCTTCTTAACAAAATTTTAAGTAGATACCACTAACAATAGTAGTATTGTTAACTATAGGCACAATGCTGAGCAGGAAATCTCTAGGAATTTTTCATCTTACATCAATGAAAGCTTGTACCTTTTGACTATGCGTTCATGCTCAATCGCTTCAGCTGTGTCCGAGTCTTTGAGACTATAGCTATGGACTATAGCCTGCCAGGCTCCTCCATCCATGGGGATTGTCCAAGCAAGAACACTGGAGTGGGCTGCCATGCCCTCCTCCAGGGGATCTTCCTGACCCAAGGATAGAACCCACGTCTCAGCTCTCCTGCATTGGCAGGTGGGTTCTTTACCACTAATGCCACCTCCCAATTACCCATCTCCCCACTACAGCACTCTACTCTCTGCTTTTTTGGGTTTCACTATTTTAGATTATGCATGTAAGTGAGATCTGGGCTTCCCAGGTGGCGCTAGTGGTAAAGAACCCGCCTGAAAATGCAGGAGACATCAGAAACATGGGTTGGATCTCTGGGTCAGGAAGATTTGTAATGATATATATCAGAATTAGCTAACACTTAAGGAATCACCCTCACAGCCCAATAGCAAAATGTAAAAGAAACCAAATATTCTAAAGGGAGATTTGAAATTTTATTTTCAATCACCTTCACAATATACAGTTTGGATTGGAACAAAAGCTGACTTTTTCCAGTTCTGTGGCCGCTGCTGAGTTTTCCAAATTTGTTGACATGTTGAGTGCAGCACTTTCACAGCATCATCGTTTAAGATTTGAAATATTTCAACTGGAATTCCGTCACCTTCACTAGCTTTGTTCGTAGTGATGCTTCCTAAGACCCCCTTGACTTCTCATTCCAGGATGTCTGGCTCTAGGTGAGTGATCACACCATTGTGATTATTTGGGTCATGAAGATCTTTTTTGTATAGTTCTTCGTGTATTCTTTCCACCTCTTCTTAATATCTTCTGCTTCTGTTAGGTCCTTGAAATTTCTTTCCTTTATTGAGCCCATCTTTGCATGAAATGTTCCCTTGGTATCTCTAATTTTCTTGAAGAGATCTCTAGTCTTTCCCATTCTGTTGTTTTCTGTTTGACAACACATCTGTCTTTTTCAGTAAAAACGACTCTATATCCTGGCTCCTCCCTTACCTCTTTGGAAGCATTCCTCAGAGCTGTCTGAGAGGCTGCCATCCCAGGCTTCAGTCCTTAGTGTTTGGGCTCTGCTCTATCGCTCGGTTGTGTCTGACTGTGACCCCACAGACTGCAGCCCACCAGGTTCCTCTGTCCATGGATTTTTTTAAGCAAGAATACTGGAGTGGATTGCCATTTCCTCCTGCAAGGGATCTTTCCGACCCAGGGTTTGAACCCACATCTCCTGTGTCTGCTACACTGCAGGTGGATTCTTCACCTGCTGACCCATAGTAAGGTAATAAGGTTCCCAAGTAAAACATTCTCAACTTTTAGGTTGTGCTTTTTTTTTTTTAAATTCAGTTGACAAGAGAAAGAAACTGAAGCTATAAAAAAAGTGAAGTAACTATTATCTGGAGTCACTAACCCATTTGTTTCAGCTCTCAAAGCTGAAACCATGCCTAATCTCAACACTAGGGAAAGGTGTCCAGTCCTAGCACATTCACCGATGGTAATACTGCCAGGTTTCCCAGCAGAGCTTCTCCCAAAGGCTACTGACAAAGGAGAGCCCTGCCTCCAAGGAATACTATTCACAGGACAGGTGTGCAGACTTACACATCTGCTGAGCAGTCTTTCATAAATACTTTAACCCCTTTGGGTTTTCTCAGAAAGGAAATACCTTTCTTCTCTAAAGCTAAAGAGTACCTTGATTCTAGAGAAGCATTCCAAACCTGCTGTCTGCAACTGTTCGTGGCTCTTGAAGTCAATTTTGCAAGTCAAGATCAGCTCATTTTTAAAAAGTGAATAGAACAGATTATAGGGTATCTGGAGTAGAAGAGGTAAAAGCTGTTTATTTTTTTATTATAAATAAACTTAGTACAAACACTAAGTTCCAAGGCAAGATATACTTCTTACTATGGGTCATAGTAAACAAAACAATTTTAACCACTCTTCTAGTTTTGCAATCGTCCTAAGTGGACACACACCCATGGATTGACTACAAGCAGCCATGGTACACCCATAGTTAGACATGAAAATACTTTGTGTTTCTAAAGCATTCCAGAGTTGGCTGATGTTAAATGGATCTGTAGCCTCAAAAGATTAAGAATCAGTCATGGAAAGGTACTGAGAAATGGCATATTTCCTGCCGTACCAGTAAATAATGTCTCGGTCATCAGTGATGGCAGCCACCACTGACGGTGAACTGGTGAGCCCTGGGGGAACTCAGGATGTGAAAACCCAGGACACGAGCCCCAGACAGCTAAGCTGCATATCAAAGGAATTTCAGGGGGCCCAGACTCTTGCATCTTCCCATACACAGAAAAGCACTAAGTTCCTTAACTTGAGATATCTGGGTTTCCTTTAATTCACAACAATCTGTTAACATTCAGACTACCTGCCCTTTATTGCAAAACTTCTATATAACCTAGCTTCCCTACTTTCCCTCCTTGGAGCAGTTCTCTCAGGGTTACTTGAGATGCTGCTTCCTGGACTTGAAGTCCTAAAATGCCCACCACATAAAGCATAACTCTCAACTTTTAGGCTGTGAATATTTTTTAAGTTGGCAGGACAGTACAATAATATAAGGAAAAAAGATGATGTGAATTTTAGATCCTTAACAGATAAAAATGCTGAAAAGCTTCTATGTGTTTACACAATTCAACATGCCCAGACCTGACTGTCATTTATTTCTGGAAGCATTTTGACCAGCACTCTGTCAAAGCCGTGGTGACAAATGAAAAGAATATTTGTGGATGGAACAGTAAATTCTTTTCAAGTCCTGACAACCATAATCAACAATCAGTTACACCCTATGAAGTTCATTAAAAGTCTGTGAAAGGAAAATTTCTGCTGTACACTTTAACCTAGAGGTAAGGCAGAAGAAACCAAAAAATAAAAAGAGTGGAAAAATAACATGGGAATGAGGGTGGGAAAATAAAACCCTGAAAGGACAGTGCACTCTTAGGATCAAACATAACCAGACCTCTCTAATCTCACCTGTGTGAAAAGAAAACTGGTCTGACTGAGTTCTTCATTGCCTTTTCTTAAAACATATGCAGAGTTCTGACTAAAAGCACAAAAAGACAAGGACAGTCAGGCTCTTCCCTAAATGCAGGGTATCTATTTTACATTGCTAAGATTTGCACAGAAAAAAAGCAAACAAGTGTGGAGAACAATGACAAACACATTTTTGAACATTTTGTGGGCCACGGTTTCTTTGGTATGTTTACCTCAGGAGAGAGGCAAAAGCTGGCTTTGATGAACAAGGCTGGATCTTACTCCTTTGCTTCATGTCCATAGGTGTCACCCTAGGAGACAAAACAAGTGTCCGTCAGAAAGCAGAACTGGGCAGCCAGCCCGAAGGGAAGCAAGCGCCCTGGGAACCTGAGCGGGACCCCCAGGGAGAGGCTTCTCAGACAGGGGATATGGATCCTCACTGTAGGCCCTGAGGTAGGACAGAAACTTTCCTAGTCCGGGACATGTCTGAGGATTCATGGATATAAAGCAAGAGAGAGTGGAACAAAGGCTGAGGTGACAAGCGACCCAGAAGGGCCAGAGAGCAGCGACTCAAAGGACCCTTTGAGAAGAACTGGAAAAAAAATAAAGAAAGAAGAACTAGGACTCCCACACTATGGAAGCCATGACCTGGCTCATAGTTTTGAAGTTCCTGAATGCCTGAGAAATGCACACAGCTATCAAGGTCCTCCACGCCACCTGCATGGATACCTATGGGCAGTAAATGCCAGAGAGACGCTGTCCTGAGCAGCTTCCAGAAACCCCGCCTGGGACCTGGGGACCCCACCATCCCGCTACTTGGCATCATAGCGAACTCTCCTCTGTTCTTGGCACCGGTTAGGTGCCTGTGTGTCTCCTGAAAGGAGCACTGTCTCCACCATTTGAAAGGGTTTTGTGAAACCAGACAGATGAAGGGGACGGGGCGGCAGGGTCCAGACTCAGCCAGGAAAGAGGAAAACAGCCTCACATGAGAAACTAGGAATGATCATCAGCTGTATGGAGAATTAACCTAAAAAAGAAAACCAACCGGTTTTCTTCTATAATCACCAGATTCAAACAGAAATAGCCTAACCCCTTCAGGGATTGACTCGATTTTAAACTTTTTTAGTACAAAATTCCCAGTTAACACTCTAGGTTTCTGTACCATGAGGCTAGTTGAAGAGACTCATCTTTGGTAAATACCCCAAATGGCAAAAACCTCTTGATTTACTTGTAAGGAAGATACATAAATATGGTGGGATATGACACCAAGCCATGAAAATCAAATTATAGTCAGAAGACAAAATAAAGTATAAAATATTACTTGGCTTCCAAGTCTATTAAAATAGAAAACAAACTATTTGAGGGTATTGTGAAGCCAAACTTTGAGTGTTTTTTTTAAAAGACAATTATTCATCTTAAATAGTTAAGGAAGCAAGTTCACAGCATCTTAGGTAATTTCATGATATTTTCTGTGGAGTAAAGTGTTCGTTTAGGAGTGACATGAGCATGCCTCGAATTCTAATGACAAAAAAATGTGCTGAATTTGGACCCTTTTCATTGTCTTCTTTATCATTTCCCCTGTGAGCCAGAATATGATTTCTTGGGAATTAGCAATCGAGCCAACTTTGTACTTTCTCTTCTGTTCTTATCTCCCATTACTAAGTATGGAACAGAGGCAGGAAGGTGCAAAGATACAGGGAGAGATGCTGGGAGTAGGAGCCTCGCAGGGTGCACGATCAGACTTCTAAGATCGCTGACTCATTGGTGGTGGTGGTTTAGTCGCCAAGTGGTGTCCAACTCTTGCGACCCCATGGACTGTAGCCCGCCAGACTCCTCTGTCCATGGGGATTCTCCAGGCAAGAACACTGGAGTGGGTTGCCATTTCCTTCTCCAGGGATCGAGGGATCCCCACCCAGGGATCGAGGCCGGGTTGGCCAAAAACCTCAAAACTTACAGCCAAATGCACGCACCTGGCACTGGATTTCTCCAGCGACCATAAAGAGCATTACAAGATTTGCTAACTTCCTTCCATAAAGAGCACTACAATGATTTTTAAATCAACCAGTAATGAAATCAAATGCAGAAGCAGCATTTTTTTTTTTTAATTTAGTAAAACAAAACCTAGAAACATGATCTGGCAGCTACTATTCAAACACTGGCAAAAAATACTGGACTTTTGTCTAAGTGAAGACGTTTTTTGTGGTTTGACATCATATAATACTACCCATTCAGAATTTAAAGGTCATTAAAACTCGATTCCTTGCCAAAGGACTGGCAATAGGAAGAAAGGGTACCTCGAGACTATCAGACAGCTGTCCTCCAAGACTTCACTATACATTTACAAGCTAAGTAACTGGGTTTTCCAACCGGCTTCCACATCACAATTCTTCTGCTCTAGTCATCTGCAGAAGAGGTTTTTTTTTTAACATTTGTGCTAAACAGTAGGCAATTTCTGAACAGAACTCTGGGAAACTCAAGCAGAGTAATTCCAAAAGTATCAGACTTCTGAATTCTGAGTTTTAAAGATATATTTTGAGGAGAAAAAGACATAATCTATTTTGATGCTTTCATTTTAGTATTTTTGAATCACCCATCCTCAGTGTTAAAAAAACCTGTTTTTGTCTTTTCCCCCAAAGCCAACGGGAACTTGAAGAAAATGTGAAAGCCTATTGCTGAATTCCAGGAGTGCAAAAGGAATAAACTCTGCTGGTTGGGGGAAAAAAAAAAAAAACTGTTTTGCGTAACTGAGGATACTTTTGGTTCAAACCATGTTAATTTACATGGTTTGTTGCAAACATTTTAAAATAAAGCAACATGTATATTAACTTTTCTATTTATCTTTATTATAGAAAATATTTTAGAATGTTCTCCATAGACTAGCATAGTTATCAATGGTCTCAAACTCTTGGTGGGAATGGTAGTTAAGCAAAGTATAGCTCAAGAATTTGGAAAGTTAGGAAAAGAGAGCCTCTCTCCCCACCCCTATCTAAATGTGAAATTTGGTAAATCAGAATACTTAATAAAAAACAAATTCATATTAATCACCATTATAAGAGGTGTTTGTTTTTAACTACATTGAAGACAATCAGGAAAGTTTTTTTTCCCTTAACGCTTCTCCCTAGGGTAGCATCATAACAAAAACTTAATGCTAAGAAACATTTTATATGCTATAAAATGTTTAATACACAGTTTAAACTAGATTATCTGTTTCTTCTCCCACAATAATCTGTTTTTAGTATCAGCAACATTTGGCAAGTTTATTTTTTCGATATAAACTGTGGTTCATCTGTTCACTGTTTCAAGTAAAAAAAAAATCATTTCCAGGAGAAAAAGCAGAAAAAGCATCAATTAACAAGAAGGACAAGTGACTTCATTTGTTTTTAGAAAAAGAAATGCTTACTTAACTATCCTGTATTTGGACTTATTCAGGTGTTAAGAAATTGAGGGAGGTGTAAAACGTTAAATGACAACAGTGCTCTTTTTTTAACCTAACAGCCCAGCCTTAACTGTGAACTTGAATCCAAAAAGGACAGCTGTCATAGAGTGAACTCAAGGAAATGTCTGGTTGGCATTGATAAGCACCAGCAATAGTCAAATGGAGAGACATACTTGCATGGTCAATTTAGTCTCTAATTCCAGTAAGTTCATTGCTTTGAGAAGCACCTCTTTTTTTAAACACACCACAAGGAAAGTATAGACAGTTGCCCTACATCACATGCTCTGTGACTTATAGAAATCAGTACACTTTCAGATTAGACAGATCATTTTTTTTAATCTTTGGATCTGTTTTGCTTCAGTTTGAAAAGCTGTACTGTAATTAATCAACTCTAGCAAAATTTTGTATATGGTAGTATAGAGTTAATTTATCCTGTGACAATGCTGCTCTGAATTTTCTTCTGTTTTTCAAAAAAACAAAACCTGTTGCTTAGAAGCCATGAACCGTTTTACTCTACTTCAACTTGTCAAAATTTCCTTGTTTTAAAAAATGATCATGTGGGTTCACTCAGGAAATCCACGTCCGGAAGCTTGTATTTAAGTTGACTAGTTGTGATAGATCAGGAACTGCTCTTACTCCTTTTTCAAAGAAATATACATGATTTTAAAGCTTTCTCAGTTGTCACATGCTCTGCAACTAGTGCAAGGAAATCAAGTCCTGTGTTGTATTTGTTCCAGTCGTTTCTATTCAGGTCACATATTGTAGCTAATTTTTATTTGTAATTTATTTATTCAAACTAAGTAAATACTTTTCAAAATAGAAAAGGGAAAAGGATAAAAAGCTTAATCTAGGAGTTTTCTCTGTAATAAAGCTACCTGTGCCTCTCCAAATTTTGTATGTGATATTTCAAGTCAGTCATTTCAAATTCTACCTATGTCATTATTCAGCAAATATTTTTAAACAAAGGAAACCATATGTAGTGTCCACATTTATCAACAATCTTTATCCCTGTATTTTAGACTCGACTCGAATGCCACTGAGTCTAAGAAGTACTCCATCAATTCAAAAAGATGAATTATATAAATCAGAATCCCAAAGACAGTCAAGACCACTGCTTCACTAAAAGTAAAAAAAAAAACACAAACACCGATGTTGCTTACTAACATTTAAATGGTTATGTGTAATGTATAAGATATTAGAATGGTAAAACTCTAATCTATAATGGAAAAGCTAGAAAAGGCTCAAAATGTTACAGGGTTTGTTTATGTGTTCTATAATAGGTCCTTCTAATATCATTTGTGTGTCCATGTGAAAGACCAGTTGGGGGGTCATTTTTAAGCAGCAAAAATAAGACTTACCCGTAGTCATTTGTTCTCCACAATATACAATGCAGCACATAATAGAGGAAGACGGCACTCAGCGAGATGGCCACAAGGTACCCTCTCATGGCTGGCCCACCTGTAACAGAGGGAATGATGCCAAGGGGAAGGCAAGGTCATTACACAGATGCCCCACACAGTGACCCACCTGCAAGCATCAGTGAACAAAGAAACACACAGAGGGAAGAACGGAAGAAACTGATGCCAGCCGATCATTTTAGAAACACCCACTAAATTTGCAGAAGGAGAATATTTTTTTCTGTCTCTCACCCTCTTTAATCAACGCAACACGATTCATGTCTAGAACAATACTTTCCCTTATTAAAGAAGTAAAAAATTCATTCAGAACAAAATTTTACACATTTAATACTCATTTTTTAAAAAAATACCTATTTTCTCTCTCTCCAGAGAAGTGAATATATACCTTAAGATGTAATAAAAACATTTGTTTCATCAGTGCTCAAAATGACTTTTAAATGCTATATAAACTAAAAGTCATTTCCTCACTTTAAAAGACTGGGGGAAAAACTACTAAAAAATATTTACCATATCCTCAATTTTTACACACTTTTATATGCACCACATCACAGCATAGGTAAATTTAGCTCCTTTACAAAATAGATTTTTTTTAAAGCCTAAAACATTTTCTTTAGTTTCCACTTCTGCTTCATAGGCAGATATGAACATGGTCTCACTTCTACATGTAAGTAAATGTGAAAGACAAATTTAAAAATGTCTTTATTTCAGTGCCTCTTTCCATCTCCTACCAGGTTCCTGGTTCACCTAGACTTGAATGTCCCACGCCACTCACTCTTGTCCAAAGTGTGAAAGTGTTTAGTCACTCGGTCATGTCCGACTCTGCAATCCCATGGACTGGAGCCTGCCAGGCTCCTCTGTCCATGGGATTCTCCAGGCAAGAATATTGGAGTGGATATGGAAATGGCTATTTCCTTCTAGAGGGAATCTGCCCAGCCCAGGGATCGAACCCACGTCTCCAACATTGGCAGGTGGATTCTTTACCATTTGAGCCGCCAAGGAAGCTAACCTCAATTAGGGTGGTGCAGTGTAGAACATGTGAGTCTAGTTAGATTCTTTTTTTTTTTTTTTGTAATTTTATTGAAATATATTTGATTGGTTAGATTCTTAAAGAGCTCACTGCCTTTATGGGTATAATGGACTAAACATAAAAGAAGCTGTTCTTGATAATGTGAGGTCATCACAACAAACGTCATTCATTGTTCTGGGCACAATTAGAGTTGAGACTCTCAGGAGCTCTTGAGGGTGTGAGGCTGTTTTTGGAAGTGATCCTCCACTGTAGGGATGATCCCATGGAGATCGCTAGGCAGCCCCCCCTTGCTGTCAGCTGTTGCTTCTCACTGCAATTAACGCAGCCACCACCCCCACACGCCACTATTATAAATTAATTAGAAGTGAACGCTGTGTCAGAAGGAAGCAAATGAACACCTTAAATGAGCAAACTTTGGTTTACCCATACTTCTAATTTAGCAACAAAATCCCCAATCAACACCGGTTGGAAATCAGAAGACAGAAATCAGGGCCCAACTCCACGTAATTCCTGGCCTGGGGGTGGGGCGGGGCTTAGGTAAATTAGTCTCCCTTTTCCAACCGGACTGTTCTCACATGTTGAGGAGTAAGAACACACAACTACCTCTTTGGCCTATTAAGCCCGACTGGCCAAAATGATGGGCGTCTGGCATAACCCAGGACACAAAAGTACGGGCTGAGTAAGTTTCTGCGTTTTATGGTTCTTTGTTTTCTAAAACTAAAGCCAGCTGTGCGTTTTGTTTCTTACACAGTAAAGTGCATGGGTTTGAGAAAGCCAAAGGGAGACCTGGCCCACCCACTGTGCAGCCTGAGCCGTATTCCCACTGGACTGAAGGCAAGGCTCAACTGGGCACGGCCGTGGCACAGAGGCCACATCCTCTGTGGGCAGAGAGACCAGAGCAAGAAGGGCACAGACCGTCTCGGGCCCAGGCCTCCCTGCCCACTGTATTCCGTCCTCCTCGCCCCCCTGTAATATATGCCTTGACATATTATGCATTATTTCAGAAATCATCTTAAGTTTTTGGTAAAAATCAAGAAATAAATTGCATGATCATCCAGTGGGTAAGAAAAAAAAAGTATGGGTCTGGGTTTATTGAGAAATAATTGGCAAAAAAAAAAATCCAAGGAATGGAGAAAACTCAGGTTTGGGATGATCAGAGTGAAAGCCCAAGAAAATGAGGCACTGAAGATGGTGGGTGCATCACTGATCTAGTTAACTGAGGAAACAAGGATGGCAAGACAGCGAGCGCACAGCCTGACCTTTAGGACATGTGCAGCAGATGCTGGCTCCACGTCTTCCCCTTCCCGCGCGAGACAATAATGTGTGCTCAGTCGTGTCCAGCTCTTGGCGGCCCCGTGGACTGTAGCCTGCCAGGCTCCTCTGCCCATGGAATTTTCCAGGCAAGAATACTGGAGTGGGTTGCCATTTCCTCCTCCAGGGGGGTCTTCCAGACCCTGGGATCGAACCCGTGTCTTTTGCGTCTCCCGAATTGGCAGGCAGATTCTTAACCACTCGCACTACCTGGGAAGCCCATGTGAGAGAAGCGATAATGTTAAACACTTTATACAGGGGCCATGAGCCATGCTTCATGCTGACAGGACACAGGGAGCTGGCGCGGACTGGCCTTGGCTCATGCCCTGGACTGAACTGGCTCTGGCAAATGTTTTTGTTTTTTTTCATGCATCACACAAACATGAATGTAGGATAAATATAAAAGACTCCAAAGAACACTGAGGAATTCTTTATATACCCTGTGACTCATCTAAAAATACACTGCAACTAAGCCTTTTCGTTGTACATCTGATGGTTTCAGTTATCAGGGATATTTAGCAACTAAGTTCTAAAATGCACAAATTAGACTTGGACCAAGAAAGTTTTAGAAATTGCTGATACCAGGCTTAAGACTGTCCTGGAAGGCATTTTACCACGGGCCAAAATAATCATCAAACAATTTGCTTAAATACTCAAATATTTAAGACTCCATCCAAACTATCATCAGTTATGCAAACACCCAACAAGGATGCCACTTACCAGTAACGAGAGTTTTTTACAAGACGTATTTAGGGCTTCCCTGGGGGCTGAGTGGTAAAGAACCCTCCTGCCAACGCAGGAGACATGGGGTTCGACCCCTGATCTGGGAAGGTCCCATATAGTGCAGAGCAACTTAGCCCACGCGCCGCAACTATTGCGCCTGTGTGGTGGCTCCCAGGAGCCGCAACTCCTGAGGTCCAAGCCAGCCCGCCCTCCACAACCAAAGAAGCCGCTGCAATCAGAAAGCTGAACACTGCGACAAGAGGGAGCCTGCACAGCAGTGAAGACCCGGCACAGTCAAATATAATGAAAATCAACCCCCAAAATCTGCATCTAAGGTAAGGCAGCACATTACAGTCTAAAGGAAGAACTCAGTATTTTCAATTCAGTTTGCTCACCTGTCCCTCAAAACACATTCCTCGGAAAATCTACCGATTACTTTACATTACAAGGAAGTACAAGTAAGTGAGATTGTTGTTTTTGCCTCACCAGTTCGTAGTTTCGCTGAAAATGAAGAAGGGTGAGAAACATTTTTTTCCTTCAAAACGTAAAATGAATCTACTCGTGCAGGGTCATTGTGTACACCACCTGAGAAAAATTTGGGAAGCTTTGCCACTCTCTCAGGTGTCATGGGCAACTCACAGCACCCACACTCAAGCTGCGAAGCAAACTGGGGCCAGCCAGGATATCCGCGTGATAAGCATGTCGAGTTCTTCTGCTTGCTCACAGGAAAAAAATTGCAGAAATAAATGAAGTCTCTAATTGTAAGTCTATAAAGGAAACAACCATTTTGCTTTGAGCCAAAGATTCAAAGCAACATCAGTTAGGATTTAACACAGAGTGCTTGGTTTACAGGGGAAAAAAGCCCTTCAACATAGCTCCAAGAACCAAAACAAGTTTCAACATCCTGACATTAAACAATACATACCAGCTTCTTGGCTGCAGATGCCACTATTAATAAGATCAGGGTCCCTAAAACCCCCTTATAATTGAATAAATCAATTATTCACCTAGACTGTGAGTAGAGTTTCAAGGGAGAGCAGGAATCGCTGGCAGAGATCAAATGCTTATTTCTTCTCAAATTATGATACATAACTGAACAGATGAATAATCTACATTTGCCAGAGGCTTCCCTGGTGGCTCAGTGGTAAAGTATCCATCTGCCAATACAGGAGACTGGGTTTCGATCCCTGGGTTGGGAAGATCCCTTGGAATAGGAAACAGCAACCCACTGCAGTATTCTTGCCTGGGAAATCCCATGAACAGAGGAGCCTGGTGGGCTAAAGTCCATGGGGTCACAAAGATTCAGACAGGACTGACTGACTGAGCAGGCACTACATACACCAAAGTGGGCTCAACCCTGGCAATAGGTTTTCTGTCTCTTTAATGATTAAAGTATATTTTTTAAGTTCATAAAAAGCTTGTAAGTCTATCACTTCACTTAAGGCTCAAAACGAGCTTGATAAATGGATGTGTGGGTATCATTTCCTTGATGAAGGAAGGAACTGAAAGCTTCTCGGGGTCAGTGATCATCCCAGCTCACAGGGTATAAGAAACAGAAGCAGGCAAAGTGTGGTCATTGCTTCCCACAGTTCTATTCCTATCTATCAAGACAAAATGCATGAGGGGAACCCAAAAGAGAAAATTCTAACAGACAACTTCCTGAGAGTGCTCCGTTGGTGGGCAGAGTTCCAAAAGTGCAAATTCAGACATAGTGGACAGGAGAGGGCTGCAGGCAGGCTCCCCAACGTGATATGGCAGGTTCAAGGGTCTGCACCAGCCGACGACTTGTTAACATTCCTCACCCCCTACTACACTGGAACTTCTGGGGCTTGGGGACATGTATTAAAACAAGCACCCTCCAGTCTGATTCTTATGCTGACCCAAATTAAAATTTGAGAATTATTGCTCTAGGATTCTCAAGGGAACCATGGAGGAAACCAATCACAAATGTACTGAAATACAGAGAGCATAACAGACAT